CCGCCGGTGTCGGACTAGGAGGGGATGAACTCGTCCATGGTGTTGGTGCTTCCCCGACCAACTTGTCCCCGCACCTCTCCTCTGTTGCTACAAAAGAAGAAAAAGAGATTGGAGAGAGGAAGAGAGAGATGAAGAGGAGGATGAAGGAGGGGGAGGGGATGAACTCACCGGAGTTGGACCAACGCCCGAAACCCTAGCAGACGCCCAGTGAGCTGCAGCTGCTTGTCCTGGGACCATGGCATCGGCGTCTCGTCATGTGGCCCTATCCCGGCATTGGCGCTCACGATTGGAGCGATGAGGTGCAACCATGGCGGATCTAGCCGCCGCCATGGATTACACCTGGCTACTAGATCTCCCCCTCCTTCCAGCAGCGAAGGAGGAGGAAGGAGGGGGAGTGAGAGGAGGCGCCGAGGTGTGAGGCCGGTGGCAGCGGTGGGTGGGGAGGGGAATCATGGGTGGGAGGGATGAGAAATCGGGAGAAAGTGGGTGTGGGCCTCTCAGAGTGACGAGTTGGCGGTGGGGCAGGGGCAGGTGTGATGCGGCCTAGGGGGTTCTTTGCCGTCAGTGTGTATAAAGTAGACGGCAAGGCCATCTCTTTGCCGACAGTAGGGTTCAAGGCTGACGGCAAAGCCCCTCTTCGTTTCACGTCCGTCTGGTTGCCTTCTTTGTCGCCAGTGGGTCTAGATCACTTTTGCCGTCAGGTTTTCTGTGCCGTCAGCCGTTTTATCTCTTTGCCTTCAGATTTTTTTGCCATTAGTTTTTCCACTATTTTACCGTCAGCTGTTCTTTGCCATCAGCAACTGACGGCAAATTTTTTCTTTGCCGTATGCCCCGACGAAAAGCTGACGACAAAGAGGAAAACTAACGGCAAATATTAGCTGATTCCTGTAGTGTGAGCTGCCCTACATGACTGTGATTCATCTGATGTAATCTGTTGGTTTGTTTGTTGCGGTGTTATGAATTATCACTTTATGATCAGATTTATCTATGAATTCCTTTTGGGATCTATTTGGTTTCTTTGCTTCATAATTCTTATTCATATATGCTCTCCGATCTATCTTTTTTTCTTTGGCCAAGTTAGGGGAGTGATCTCCAAGAGGGAATTGGGTATGATATATAGTTAGGTTCAATCTTGCATGTAATCTACCACAGTGACAGAAAGTGAAAAAGGCTTGTATTGTGTTGTTGCCACTAGGGATAAAAAGATGGTTGAGTAGTTGGCCTTTGAACGTAGGGTGAAGACAATATATCATCTACTTCATGTCATCATACTTATTGCAATACTCTGTTTTTACTTAATACTTTAAGATGCATGATGGATAGTGGTCTTGAGTGGAGTATTAGCTATAGATGCAATTGGATAACAATCTATAGATTTTGGGACGTGATGCTCATATGTTAATTATGCCATGGATAGTCATAGTCATAAATATTGCAATTTAATTGATACACAACTATAATTTGTTCAGCACACCATGCTTTCTTATGGAGAGAAACCGCTAGTGAATCTATGGATCCCAGTCCATCTTCTTATAAAATTTTCAAACTCGATCAAACCCTCTTTTAAATTCTTTTTTACTTTTCCATTGCAATCAAATCTTCCATACACTTATGCTTTCAATCCTTGTAACTAGCAAGCTAGTGAGATTGACAACCTCACTAGTCTTGTTTGGGGCCTAGGTAGTTTTGTATTTGTGTGTGCGGGTACTGATCATTGTTGTCTTACTAAACTCTTGTTGGTTCGATAAACCTTGAGGTCAGTTAAGGGAAATTGATGCTTGCTACAAACCCTTGCACTTGGGGGCCCAACACCTTCCTAGTTGAGAGGAAGCAAGCCTTTTTCTGGCGCCGTTGCCGGGGAGTTTTCTTCATAGTCATAGGTCCTTCACTCATTTATTTACTACCTTGCTTTCTATACTGCTTAGTTACTTTTTGTTGCTTATTATTTTGCTTTTCTGCTTTCTAAAAAACTTGAAAAACACAAAATATTTAAATTTCAGCAAGTAGTTACTATTATTTTAGCTTGTTTATCATGGCTATTTCTTCACTTTCTACTACTTCTCCTGAGTTAGAAGTGCTCCACTTCAAGCAAAGGGGTGGAGAAAGTTTAAAAGATGCTTGGTATAGGATCTGTGATTCTCAGAATAGGTCTATTCGTAAACAATCAACTGTGGTGCTCATTAGGAATTTCTACATTGGTGTAACTCTCTGGAATAGGTACCTGCTAGGCACTATAATGGGAGGTAGCTTTTAGAGTAGCAATACTCTTGGTGCCTTTGATGGTATAGAAAGTATAGTAAGATCTCCTCCAATAAACACTGATGAATCTGAAGTTACCCTTGAACACCTTATGATGAGATTGGATATAATAGAAAATAATATGCCAAGTAAACAAAAACTCGAAGAAATTGATAAAAAGTTAAACAATAATGTCACTAAACTGGGATCTTCTATAGGTGAGGATCTTAAAAAGATGAAAAATCTAGAAAAAGAAGGTCATGCTGTGAGGATAGATCATCATCCCTCAAGGATAGATAAGTTAAAAGAAGCGATTGATACTCTAGGGACAATGTTTGCTTCAATAAAAACTACTAGAAGTGATATATTATCGCAAGTAGTTTTCTCACCTTTATTTATTAGGATTGTGGGGATTGAGAGGCCCAAAGACATTTCTTCAATTCTATAGAAAAAAGTACCAAGGATTTTTTACTTGTTAGTTATTACTCTCTAAAGTTTGATTTCAAAAATATTTTTTCTTCCCAATCTAGGTTAATTTGGTACAAAAGTGTTAGTCGAAGCAAGCACGTAAACCTTTTAATCAACAGTGTTCAAAACTTCAACCACATTTCCAAAAATAATCTGTCATTTCGGTAGGTACCAAAATATTTGTAAACTCGGAATTTCAGGCCAAATTCAAACTGGTGAACACTAGTAGAGCAAACTCCGAAAGAATTTCCAAAAATCCGGACATTTATGTGATGCCCTCAATTTGTCAGTTTCTGAAAAATTTAAACCGCCCACAAGCAATGACGTAATTTCGGTTGGGACAGATGGGAGAACACAAAAGCCACTGAAGCCAGTGTAGTACATTTATTGCCCTGTTGAGTGGTCTTAATTTTGCTCAAGTGGGTCGATCGGTGCATGTATGGGTTTCTTCACGTACATACACATATATTAATTTCAGCAAAGCGAAAGCGACGGCGAGAAGTTGCACGTAAAGGTCAGGGACCGGCAGATGGATGGGTATAGATGGCCCAGCGCTGCTATACACACGACAATATTGGACGATCTTTGGACGATGCAGTGCATCTGACCGTACGTACGCAGAGCAAAAACTGGATGCACCGTCAATCATCCGTCGTCCTCAGTTCGTGCAGGCAAACTGTCGTCCACACAGTAGTTCCGTAGATGGCCTGCTAACCGACATGCATCAATGCATGATGCACGCCTGGCTCGTCTCCTTTTCGAGCTAGCAGCTCCTCCCCTCCACGTTAATTCCCACACGCCATTAACACCTCCCTATCTAACTCATCGATCGATTGATATGGATGGCCATCTACCAAAGTGATCTTATGTAGGAGTAAAATATAACTGCACTCTGTCTTGCTTCAATCGATTCCCCTACAATTTTACGTGCATATATGTACGTCCAACTAACCCGCCAATTAACCCATGCATGCATCGATCATGTACAGGTGTGGACATCTTTACCTTTCCTCTAATCTTGCCCGTTCTGGATTTAGCAAGTACTAGAACGTACCTGCTAATCACTATCAAACATAATCACATGCAAACATTTGATTAATTATGTGTGGTTCGGTACATATACATACATGTAGGATAAGGACTGCTCTCATTCCGCCTTATGGATGGTTGCATCAATTAATAAGAGAGAGCGGCCGACTGCTCCCTAGCGCTCCTGAGCAGCTGGCTCAAAAAGAAAAGTTTTGGTCCTCTAATATATATTGTCTCCACTAATCCATATAAAGAAAATTTTAATCCACATTAGAAAAAGTAAACAGAAAAAAGGAAAAAAGAATTGCAAAAGCACCAATGTGAACAGGTGCGACCGCAATTTAATTTGTGTTTCATAATTTTTAAAAAGTCATAACTTTTTAAACCGCGCATCGGAATTAAGATCCGTTTTCACCATTGGAACCCACGCGATGTGCTCTTCAAAACTAGATCTTGCATGGGTATGTTTTGACAAAATATTTTTTGTACAATTTAGTCCCCATTTGATGCAGCTGCCTAGCAGTCGATGTGCAACTATGTGATAGTCGATATGCAACTTTCTCCCTACGCGTGGACATGCAAATTTAACTGATGGCACCTCCACCCCAACCTACCCCCTAAGAGTGAAATGTGCAACTTCGTCTGTTGTCCAGGCCAGCTGCCTTGTAATTGATGTGCACCTTTTCCCCTGCATGTGGATGTGTAGATTTCACTATTTGCTGCCTCGGCCAACTGGTCAATAGTGGATGTGCAACTTCCGAAACTGCCCCAGCTAACTGCCTAATGGTGATGTGCAACTTTCCCCCGTACCCCGGTGGATGTGTAGTTTTCCCTGGTAGCACCCCGCTAGCTATATTTGGCCATGAAAATTCTGCATATATATAGTTCCATATCTGTTAATCAAGTCGATGAGGACCATCAAATTAAGTCGATGGTTATCGTGCATACTGGTACGAATATATACATCTTTTTCGTAGAAAAATCATCTAACCGAATGCATGCTCTGCTTCATTAAGGAGCTATCAAGACGCCATCGACACTCCAACTGCACGCAAGTAAGTACTACCGCAGTACTTCACACAAGCTACACTATAGGCCACTCGACTACTCGTTGGAAGGACACATGTGTGTGTATAAATAGAGAGGCAGAGGCAGAGCGATTGGTACACAGTACACATCCGGCCTCCATTGCTGCTAGCTAGCTGCATTCGGTTGAGGCCAACCAGCAACCACACACTATAGCTCATTACTCACTAGCAGCGGCGATGAGGAGGTTGCGGCTGCAGCAGCTCGCCGTCGTCGTGGCGGTACTGGCGTTAGTGGCGGCGGTGCGTCCGGCTGTGTGCCGGGAGCAGCAGAACAACGGTACGGTGGAGGTGGCAGGGGAGGAGATGCGGAGTGCGAGGGCGACGGCGGTGATCGTGTTCGGCGACTCCATCGTGGACCCAGGGAACAACAACAACCTGCACACCCAGATCAAGGCCAACCACGCGCCCTACGGCAAGGACTTCGACGGCCACGTCGCCACCGGCCGCTTCTCCAACGGCCTCGTGCCCTCCGACCTCGTCGGTACGTCCGTGTCTATTCTTATCAGTGTGGTTGTGCTTGTGGTTTGTCTATGTCTAGGTTCCAGTAAAACCCGTTGTAAGATTTTCGGCCTACTTTTTCCCCATAAACAGGGTCACTACATTCTTAAGGAAATTGTAGGACCACCACCCTGCCATTTTGACAAGGTTCCATAAAAAGAAAAGGTTATTGTTTTGGACTTCAACATAGTTCAATACATGTACAAAATCCATAAAAAGTTATGTGTTAATGCCAAAAAGTATTCGAGACAAATTCACACAGATGGTTTCAGTTCTAAGTATCGATTATTCTAAATGTGGCATATATTTTACTATTGAACCGAGAGCTATGACTTGGTACAATTGGCTGTGTAGTTATATCCGTAGCAATACATGGGTATTTTGCTGGTAGAGCATATCAAGGAAGTTTATTTGGACGCGGGCATGGTATGACCATGAGATATTATCATCTCTAAGGAGAGCGGTGATATGGGCTCGCGGGAGTTACATGCCCCCTGCAGGATGAACAACTGATTGACCAAAAATGGGTTAGAAATTTTAAAAGGAAAATTGAGCATGTACGTCTTCAGATCTTCGTCGCGTGTGTAAGTATTTCATGCGAAAAAAAACAAAAAACAAATTGTGAGAAACAATCCAGAAATTTTGTACCCTGTTTTTTCTAAATAAATCAAGTTATCTAAAAGGCAAAATTTTAGCAACAAAATTGTTTTTTAACACAAACACTTGTCGTCTTCTATGAAAAAAAAATACATGCGCACAAAGAGCACATATATGTACAGTTGTAAATATTTGAAGAAAGTTGACATTTAGAAGATCATTTTATTTCACCCCAGGAGATATCTTTTTACTTAAAGGAAACCTGGGGAGATATCTGGCGCAACAATTAATTAACTTCACTTCTCTTAATTTCTCATGCATAGGCCGCTCCTGTTCTATGCGCTTAGCGACAAATTGTCCCCAAAACACAAAAGGTTGCTTAATATGGGCCGACCCACTAGTGCCGGCATGCCTGCTCGCTTGCATGAAAAACCGGCAGCACCTGGCTCAATAAAAAATCAGTCATGTTCGTCTGAGGAAAAGGCCACTAGAAAAACCAGCATTTCCTGACTTGGAAAAAACCGGCCACGTTGTTTTGGACAAATTTGAAAAACTACATGAATTTAAAAAAATGTTCAATTTTTTAAAAAATATTTCGGAATTTATAAAAAATCATGAACTTTAAAAAAAGGTTCAAATCTTAAAAATATTCATGAATTTTAAAAATGTTTGTGAATTTTTTAAAAAGTTTGTGGACTAAAAATTGAAAACAAACAAACAAAGAAAAACAAGGGAAATAAAATCGGATAGAAAAGGAAAAAAAGAAATAAAAAATGGTCAAAATCCAGTAGTTAGCTGCAGGCATGCCGGCCGAGTTTCCGATTTACAGCCTGTTCAATAAACTTCTCCCATTTCATTGATGGGCCGGATTTCAGCCCAGAAACTTCACGTGAAGAAGCTGGTTGCTCCGTGGCTCAACGTCGACCACACTCCGGAGGACCTCCTCACCGGAGTCAGCTTCGCCTCCGGCGCCACTGGATATGACCCCCTCACTCCAAAAATCGTGGTATGTACTCTGGCTGATCTTTCACACTCAATCTCTATTGATAATATTATATGATGCATGCATGATCGATGCAGAGGCCGAATCACAGTACACCGCTAGCTAGTCCAAGAAGAAATTTTTTGTAATGATCTTGCTAACTTCTACGCGTATTGCAGAGTGTGATCACGCTGGAGCAGCAACTGGAGTACTTCGATGAGTACCGTGACAAACTGGTGGCCATCGCCGGCGAGGAGGAGGCCGAGAGGATCATCGATGGTGCCTTCTTTTTTGTGTGTGCCGGCTCGGATGACATAGCTAACACCTACTTCACAACACCGTTTCGGAGCGTCCAGTACGACATCTCGTCCTACGTGGACCTCCTCCTCGTCGGTGTGGACAAGTTCCTCCGAAGCGTGAGTGCTCGCGGCGCCAAGAGGATCGGCTTCGTGGGCCTCCCGCCCATCGGATGCGTGCCGTCGCAACGGACGGTCGGCGGCGGGTTGCATCGTCATTGTGAACCCAAGCGCAACTACGCAGCACAGCTCTACAACTCAAGGGTGCAGGAGCTGATCGAAAGGATGAAAGAGGAGCTCAACACCCGCATAGTCTACCTAGGGATCTATGACATCATCCAAGAGCTCGCCGAGGATGGGGAGCGTTGGGGCTTCACTGAGACGACCCACGGGTGCTGCGGGACCGGGCTCATCGAGGTGACGAATCTCTGTGACTCTAGGTTCATGGCGGTGTGCGACGACGTATCCAAGCATGTCTTCTTCGATAGCTTCCATCCCACGCAAAGGGCATACAAGATCATTGTCGACAACATCTGGGACACCTATGGACACCTCTTGTAACCCTAAATGGAGTTTCTCAACATTGATTGAGCTCCATGGATCGATGAGCATACACGGCATATAAATTTGAAACTTTGCAGTTCGATAAAACATTAGAACTAAATATTTTAGACATGACAATGGAGGTAATTCTGACTGGAGGTGCACGGAGATTAATGATGAACTACAGGACCGGAATAATATGTGATACATATCGAGCACACCTGCTGATCGATCATGGTGTTTGCTTTTTGATTCGATTCGATTCGATGTGTTTGTGCAGGTGATCCAGATGATAGAGAGTAATAACGGTATTAGAATAGTATTATGATAACACCCCGCCCTATATAGGTGGGGTCAGATGTTCCTGAACTTCACGAACCAGAAGCCAAAAAGAAAAAAGAAAAAACCACCTACGGTGCCCCGATCATATTTTTTTCTTTGAAAAGAAGGATTATCTCCGGCCTCTGCATCAGTCGATGCATGCAACCATATTATTACAAATCGCAACAAAGTCTCCCGATCAGATGTCCATGGCCGCCCCGCCCCCACCGCCCTGCTCCAGCCCCAACCGGAGACGCCGCCGCCACCCCCGACCACGACCACCTTCGCAGCTGCCGCCGCGCATCAGCACGACCACCTTCGCAGCCACAACCGCGACCCGCCAGATCCAGACACCTGGGAGACAGTGCTGCTCCCGCGAGCTCCATCATGCTTGAGCACGTCCAGCAGCCCCCGCGCCCCTCAACTTCCCCCGCCGCCCCAGTCTCTTTCCACTGCTTCCTCGTCGGCCCCAGTCCCCAACGCGTCTAGCCGATCCGTGTTCCTACGCAGTTGGGTGCTCCTCCTGAGCGCCACCGCGTGGACCATGCGCGTCGACGCCCCCGAGCCATTGTGCTCCGCCGCTGCAGGCACCACGCCAAACCTTGAAGTTCAACCTGGACATGCGCAGCCGCTCGCCTTCGACGTCGCTCGCGCGCCTCAGCCAACCGCCGTCCGTCGAGCGCCCCCACACCCCGCGCGCCGCCTGCGAACCGCACCGTGGCCACCTCTCCCGCACGTTGATGAAGAGGTACGTCGTCGTTTGTACTCCAGCTTCACCGTGACACCCGAGGACAACACTGGCGTGCGTGCTCGGCCGTGACACCCGAGGTTCAAATTGGAACAAAAGAAAAGTTCACACCTTTGTCGTTGATAGTTTGGTCAAACAGAAGATGGTTTTGTAGTCTGGTATTTTTTTGTGTTTTTGTTACGGCCAAAATAAACATAAACATGCCATCCATCTTGGTGCAAAATAAAAAAAATGAAATATTTATTCCATCGTTAGTTCGTGAAGGGAAACACCTAACGGTTAGATGTGTGTGCAAAAAAGGTTAGTATTTATTTTCCCCATTCATAACAAAAAAGAAAACATGAGTCGAGATAAAAAGAAAAACCGAGCTTGAGTGAAAGTAAAAAAGAAGTTCGCCAAGTTCAAATTGCAAAAAACATGAGTTGAGATAAAAAGAAAAACACATAACTTCAAAATGTACAAGATGAGCAGATTGATGTTTAGAAAAATTGAATTCAAATTTACTATTTTAATTCTCTATTTTAAAAAGGTGGCCTTGCATGAAAATAAATAACATGTGTTTGATTTTTTTTGGAGAAGTTCGATGTTTATAAGAAAACGGATTTTCCCCATCTTTAGAAATAAACAATAATGTCAGAGTAAAATAATCAGAGCAATTCGATGTTTATTTATCATGAAGAAAACAAGCCTCACCGAGAAAATGTTAACTATGAAAGTTCAAATTTAATAAATTGGATAGTTCAAAGAAAATGAGAAAACAAAAAAAAGACACATATGTTTTGTACAAAAAAAATCACTTGAATTTTCTTTTTCTTTTTGAAAATAATAACAAAAAAGTTCAATGTTTGTAAAAAAACCATGAATTATAAGCGGTTCGACATTTGTAAGAAAACATATTTTTTACATTTCTAAAAAACCAAGAAGGTCAAACTAAAATAATAGAGAACTTTATAAAAGTTTATAAAAAATGGATTTTCCCCATTTCATAAAAAATTAGAAGTTCAAATTTCAATAACCGAGCGGTTCAATGTTTATTATAAAACTACGATTTCCCCTTTACTAAAAAATAAAACCAAGAAGTCCAAATTGAAAATATAGAGCAATTCAATGTTTATAAAAACTCAGATTTTCCTTGTTATTAAGGAATAAATGCAAGAAGTTCAAATTAAAAAGGAGCAATTCGATGTTTATTTAAAAATAAAAATCAAAATCAAAATAAAACTAAGAAGTTTCAAATTAAAATAACCGAGAAGTTCGAAGTTTATAAAAACCTAGGACTTACATGTTAAAAAATCAACATCATTTTAGGCATTTTTTAAACAGCTCATAAACAACGTCGAATTTGTAACAAATGTCTACACAAAAAGTTGCTTCTATTCATAAGATTTTGAACAGTATATCATATGCTCTATTCCGACAAAAGAAAGGTCAATGTATATGGAAACTCAAATTCTTCACATTTGTAGGAAAAATAAAAGTTTGAAGTTCAATTTTCAAAAACTTTGTTCAATGTTTATTTAAAAATTGAATTTTTCTCATTAAAAAAATAGAGAAAATCAAAGCTTACAAAAAATAGAGAAGTTCAAAATTTCTTTTTTGCGGGTAGAGAAGTTCAAATTCAAAAAACGGAGGAGTTCAAATTTTATAAACAAACAAAGAAATTCAAAGTTTATTAAAAAGCTCAGATTTTTCTTGTTACGAAAGAGTAAAACCGAGAAGTTCAAATTAAAACAACGAAACAGTTCAAAAAAGTTTATAGAAAATGGTTTTCCCCTTTAAAAAAAATCCATAGAAGTTTAAATTAAAATAATGTTTCTTTAAAAACTAGTATTTTTTCCGTTACTAAACGATAAAACTAATAAAGTTCAAATTAAAGAATATAACTATGAAGTTCAAATTTTAAATATAGATCAATTCAATGTTTATTTGAAAATAAAAAATTATGTACTCAAAATAAAAAATGATGTTCAAACGGAAATAACACAGAAATTCGTAGTTTATGAAAAATTAGGACTTACAAGTTAAAAAAATCAACGTCATTTTTGGCATTCTTAAAAATTGCTCGCAAAACGACGAAGAATTTAAAAATAAACTCTCTACATGAAAAAGTTTATGCTATTCAAACTCTTTTTGATGGTATATTATATGATCTATTTCGTTAAACGGTCTAAAATTTTGGTGTATATCATTCCAAAAAAATAAGTTTTATCGTATTAATTTTTTTAAAACCATCCCAATTTAAAAAAATGTTCGACAAGAAAATGTTGCGTCTTTTGAACAGCTATCCGAAGGTACATCATGTATACATCCAACTCCTTGATCTCTTTCTAATAAAAAAATAACCCACCCATCGATCTCTTTTTGTCCTTCACATAAGCGCAGGAGCAGTGCACGACCGCACGTACCGGCGGGTACCAGCTCTGGGGGGCACCACGCGCCGGCCAGGTGACCAAGCGGGTTCCTTCAACTGCCACCACCAGAGAAGGGCGCCGCCTTGTTTGTGTGTGGCCGCCCCTCGCCGATATACTCCATCTCCGCCCCTTGTTGGGATCTGCCCCGGCCGCCCCTCGCCGAATCCCGGCCATCCTCCTCCCCCCCCCTCGCCGGACCCCGCCGCGGCCGCCCCTGGCCGGACTCTGCCGCGACCGTCCCTCACCGGACCCCGCATGGCCGCCCCTCACCAGACTAGCCATGCCTGAGCTTCCCTAGCTTCATCCTCTCCCCCCACCCGAGCGCCACAGCTCCTCCGGCAGTGGCAGCAGTTGCCGGAGTTGGCAACTCTGGCGACCACCAAAGAAGCAGATGCCCTTGAAAGCTTTGACTGACGTCATTTAAAAAAAACTATATTTGTTGTATGTAGATTAGTCTGGATGACGGCAAAGAAAACATTGTGACTGACGACAAAGACCGTGTTCTTTGCCTTCTATTATTTTTGTGGCAGAAGGCAATCTGTAAAAGGCTGACGGCAAAATCTTTGCCTTCTACCCAACGAAAACCTAACGGTTCGTTGCAATCTATGCTCAATGACATGGTCATGGTCCAACTGAGTTCCCTCACTTTACCTATCCCATCACATGATCCAGATTTTCTGGTTGTTTAATATGTAGATGATACAATACTTTTTGTTTTGGTACATACTCAGTAGCTGGTGGCCCTGAAGGAAACTCTGTTGGTATTCTCACTATCTACTGGCTTGAAAATCAATTTTCACAAATCTTCAATGAATCCAATTAATGTGGATAGTTCTCTGGCCTCTGATCTGGCTGACATCCTTGGTTGCAAAATTGGAACAATGCCCTTCACCTATATTGGCCTCACCCTTGGGACTACTAGACCAAAGACCATTGATCTTATGCCCCTTGTAGACTGTATGGAGAGAAGGCTCATTGCCAACTCATGTTTTCCTATTGTTATTTATTATGTTTTGGGTTATTATTTCACTTTATAAAGTAATTCTAATATTCTTTCTCTCTTAATTTGCAAGATTTACATGAAGAGGGGAATTGTCGGAAGGTAAAACAAGCATAACTTCAAGATTTTCAACACATGGAGAAGAAACTTGATATTATTGCAATATGTAGAAGCATATGTTCCTCTCTCATAATAATTTTCAATAGTATCATGAATGAATTCAACAATATAACCATCACACAAATCATTCTTTTCATTATCCACAAGCATAGAAAATTTACCACTCTCCACATAAGCAAAATTCTTCTTATTCATAATAGTAGGAGAAAATTCAACAAAATAACTATCATGTGAGGCATAAGAATTAAAATCATGATGACAAGCTTCATGGTTAGCATTATTCTTTATAGCATACATGTCATCACAATAATCACCATAGATACCAACTTTGTTCTCATAATCAATTGGAACCTCTTCAAAAATAGTGGATTCATCACTAAATAGAGTCGTGACCTCTTTAAATCCACTTTCATCAACA